TGACAGGGTCACAGATCATTTTCTTGAAAAGGAACGGAGGGTAGAATTTATAACTCACACATTTTATTATGTAGACCGAAACTGAGCTTCCTCTCCTTGAAAGACCAGCATCTGCCACTGTTCAACAGATTATGTATATTAATAGATTATTAATAAGATTATGGAATCTGGAGTGATGTTGAAATACCAGATCAATGTTTATGTTTAAGAAAATCAAAGTTGGTTTAATGAAGAAATATGAAATAGTATAATGTGTATGATCTGTAGTTCGAGAAGGAGTTTATGTTTTATTTATAGATTACTATTAATTTAATTTTTTATTTTTGGAAAAAAGGGGCAGATACAAAGACTTTTTCTTCTTTCAGCTGCCTTTCATTTCATTTTATTTTATTTATAATTTGTATTTTTTATTGTGTATAGAATTTGTTTTGTTTTTATAGAAAAAATGAGTAAAGTCTAATAATAATAACAATAATAATAATAATAACAAGAACAATAATAATAATAATAACAACAATAATAATCTATACTTCTACCAGAGTAATGATGTGAAGACTTTTGACAGTTGTAGCTATTTTTGTGCAGGCTAACCTAGAGTAGCTGTGGTGGCCATGTTGAATTCGACTGGCTCCAAAAGTGAATCAAATGTAAAGACTGTATACGTCCAGATCCAATGATTGTGTTACTTGTTGCACGTTTCATTAAAATTTGCACAAGACCATGCAGATGTACTGCAGAAAGGTGAAAGTTTGCACCTTTTCAGTTGGGAATGAAGGTAGGTGGTGATGCGAGTCGTCTCCTGCAGCTGCCTGAGCAGAGCATTCCTCTTCTCCTGCTGCAGGATCCTGTTGGGACAAACAGACTCACAGCTCAGAGTTCAGATAAAGAACATTAAGAGACACAATATTTTACTGAGTACTATCAGCCAAAAACAGCAGCTCCACGTGTTAATCGTCTCACGTTTTGCTCACCTCTGATTGGCTCCCTGGCTTTGGGAGTTGTAGGCCCTCTGCACCTCCTCCTCCAGCCTGGAGCGCTCCTCCTCCAGCTGCAGCAGCGTCTCTGGCGGGTGCTGCTGCTTGCTGACCAGGATCAGCTCCTGCAGGAGGGCCTCCTTCTCACGAAGCAGCTGCAGGAAGTCGCGGTCGCGGTCCGCCTCAGCCCGTCCCGACCAGCTCTCACTGTCCAGCTGCGCCAGCTGGTGCTGAATGCTCTGCACCCTGATACAGTTAGGAGGGTGGCACYGTCACTTTACAGAGATCGAGCTAAACACAGGTGCTGACAGTCATCCTCAGCTCATACTCTGAGCTCTATATGCTGTTTGAAATTTATATGCATTCATTTGATCAACATATTTTCATGTTTGTTTATTTATCGTTACTTAACCAGTCAAGTCCCGTTGAGATCTCTTTTTCAAGGACGGCCTGGGTCTGAAGGCAACCTATTGTACTTATTTTTGTGCTGTGGGGGAAACCGGAGTACCCGGAGAAAACCCACGCAAGCATGAGGAGAACATGCAAACTCCACACGGAAAGACCCCAGGTCAGAACCAGGGATCGAACCCAGGACCTTCTTGCTTTGAGGCGTCACTGCTAACCACTGAGCCGTCGTGCTGCCATACGCAGCATTTAATCCCATATTATTACTGGATTTTTCTTCTGGGATAAATAAAGTTTACTAACTTTGTATCTTCGAAATATTTGTATTTGATGTTTCTATGTTACAAACAGACTGTTATACATCATGTTTTGGTGAAAAAAATAGTGATTTATTGAAAATTGATGGTACCTTTCACTTGTATTTGGTCTAATTTTGAAGGACAGGTTTTAGCTCAATACTCCCTGCACTGCAAAAACTGTCCATCTTACCAAGTTTTAAAATCTTACATCCATCCAAAAATTACTTTTGATTTTGTTTTGAGACTGATTTATTAATCAATAACTGATTGTGTAAGAATAATGATCAGTGGCAGCTTGTCAATAGGGGGCGCAGGTTCACGCCCCCGCGCCCCCCACCCCTGTATTTCTGGTACACAAAAATAAAATAAAATAACAAAAGAAAATGTTATAAATGCTTCAACAACATATCGTATATATGTTTTCTGATAAGCAAAATAAATAATTTATAGTTATTGATGCGTAAACTTCCATTTTACTCATGAACGTTTTCGTGTGAGTCACTTCTGGGTCATGCTGTGTTCGGCGCTACAGATTCCCATAGACAACTCGTGAAGATGTTGGACATGCGCAGTAAGTTCTCAATGCAAAAGTATAGGGTGGCCTGGGTTTGCGGCTGACCTGCGAACACAGGCTGACCTCCAAACACACACCGGTAGTGGGTGGGTCCACCTGTGTCGACGAGTCTACGTCAGCCATGTTCAGTACGGACAAAGCAAACCCAGTAAGCTAATGGAGGAGCTAACAACTCAGCTACTGTAAGTCTCTCAGGTCTTTTCCAGTTCCTCTCTGAGGCCCTGGTGTTTCTCCAGTTTCTCATGCTCCTTTTTCCTGATGTTGTGG